TTTGAAACCCAAGGGTGCTTTACCACTGAGCCACATCCCAGCACTTTTAAATATCTTTCTTAGAGACAGGGTCTCGCAGAGTTTCTTGGGGCCTTGCTAAGTTGCTGAGGCTGGCTTTGAACTCACGATCCTCCTGCCTCAGCCTCCCAAGCTGCTGGGCTCACCATCACACTCGGCTCCTCATTTAGTTTTCACAGCAGCTATGTGGGGTGAGCATCACCTCTTACATGAGATGTGGAGACCCTGAAGCATCTTGCCCCCCATCATACAGCAGGGATAAGAACCTGGGAGAGTCAGTGATACCTGCTTCTGCCTTCAGAGACAGGCAGTGGAGGGTACAGGTGGGGTCTGGAGTGTGCCAGGGCACTGGGATGGGGGGTACAGGATGGCCCCAGCCCTGAATCTGCTCGCTCTGACTGTTCTTGCAGTGTAACGAGCAGCTTTACTGACCTCTGTGCACGCTGATGTGAGGGCATCCAGCTCGGGCAGAGCTGCCCCACAGGCTTGCAAGGCCTCTCACAAGGGGCCATGCCCTCTCCCGGGAGCCCCACCTTGAACAGCCCCATTTCAGTTTTACAGCCCCTCCTTGTCACAGCAATGCATATGTCACAAAGGGACAGGGCTTTATTAGAGGGCTGAGATGGGCTGAGTGGTGGGGCCAGGCCGGCCTTTCCCATTTCTGAGGAATTTGTCCTGGGGGAGGGGCTATCTTGCTGACCTGTGAGTCCCTTAGAACTTGAGAGCTTCTCCAGGTGCCGAGGAAGCTGCTCAAAACCTGAATGCCTTGCCCAACCCACTCTGAAAATACACCAAAGATCAGGCTGCAGAGAGACTACCTAGCAGTTCCTGGGACAGTAAATAGCTCCAGTTCTAACTTTGCACTCATCACAAAGGGAGACTAAATTGTTTTAAGGTAAAAGGGAGTTCACAGTGTCACCGAAGAAGCAGGCCAAGCCTCAGCCATGTGGGGGTGGGGGTGTGAACTGGGCGGCATAACCCTATCCCCCAGACCTATCTTATTATCTCCATCTCTGGGTCGAGATGGTGGTTCACAGCCTTTGCTGTGCATTGGAAGCACACGTGGAACTCTGAAAAATCCTGAGGTGGGGTCTGGAGTGTGCCAGGGCACTGGGGGGTGGGGCGGTTCAGAGCTCCCGGGTAATAACTGTTCCCCAAAGTTCCCTTTCTGAGCCTCTGGGATGCAGGAGCAAGCTGTTCTAATTCCTCCCAGCTGAAACATTCTGGTTTCAAAGGTTTTCAGTTACCACAGTTTGGGGAGGCAGGATAGAGAGTGTCCCTTCCTATATTATGCAATTTTATGCTGCATTGATGTGTACAGATAAGTCCAGAGATCAAATGTTTTCTCATTTGATTCAGCAAATACAGTGAAATAGAGATGCCCAGCCCACAACAGATGATCAGTGCCCTTTAGTTCTCCTAAGAGTCTCCGTTAAAAATGAGCCACACCTGTAAGTGAGTGGGTTTATGCCTGAAAAGTATCAGGTGGGTCTCTTGAGTCTTTCCAGACTTTGCAAGGTGCTCGAGTCACTTCCAGCTTCGGACACTAGATGGCACAAGAGGACTGCTGTGGCTCCCCTGAGATAGAGGTGCAGGGTGGGTGGTGGTGGTGGTTTCCAAATAGCAGGATCCCAACAGGGAAAAAGCAACTTTGTGCTACTACTGGGATCAAATGCAGGTGTGCATGGTTTCTTGCGGGCAGTTGGAAGAGGCAGATAAACCTCAGATCAAGGTGACAGCTACCAGGGAAGGGACCTGGCCAGGTAGGGCCAGAGGCTCCAAGGTCAGGGCAGAGGAGGGGCAGGTGATAAGATTCGGAATGACTCTGCCTGCCACAAGTAATTGGGTTTATTTAGCACTTTGTTTTTTGGAGTTTTCTCAGACCAGGTAGCAGGTTTTAGTTTCTGTCATCGCTGACAGCAGGTGGACACAAGTCTATGTGACAGGCAAGCAAAGGGGAACTCCGTTTAAGGCATGAAAGTCAAATACCCACACAAAGAAAGAGCTCCTCATCTGCTAGAAGTGTCTCAAGTGAGAAAGTGGTGCATCTGGTGGATAGCTAGAAAGAATCCGTTTCTGCTGATGGATGGGGGCTGGCCTATCCACTGTTGCAGGTGCATATTTGACCTGGGGGCAGAGCTTCAAGGTGGAGTGGGCAGTCCCCAGGGTACCCTTGGCTCCTCTGTCCACAGGTGGCTGTGAGATTGCAGACCCCAATGTGGCTGACTTAGCACTACATCCTTCCTGAAGGCTTCATTTACATTGCTTTCTTTCCTCTTTCTTTTGTCAGTGCCTCTATTATCTGTTGTATCTCAAAGAATTTAGCTTGCAGACTAGGAAGCCCCTATGAAGGGTTTTCCCCCCCGCCCCCCGCCCATCCCCCCCCCCTTACTGCTTTTGTCTTGACTGGAGGTATATTTTCTCTCTGACTTGATCTGGAGATTGATAAGTCAGAGCCCTGGTAGAGGCCCTTATCATGACATCCAAGTTTTAGTTTTAAATTGTGAGAATTGAGAAAATTATAAATTATGGTTATCTGCTTGGAGTTGATGGGGACTCTGGTGGTGTGTTGGGGATTCAGATATCGCTTGAGACCATTCCCTTTGGAATAACAAGTGAATTTTGATTGCTGTGGTAGCCACCGGGTGGCCTGGTTGGGAGCCAGGGCTCTCATGGAAATGACTGGGATTTTTCTAGAGTGGAAATGTCCTATTCAGAAGGCAATGTTTCTATACCAGTAGGAGCAAAATACTGGCAGTGGGGAACTGCTAGGCTCCATCTTTTATCATTTATCAGGGTAGAAGTCTGTTGAAAGGTGTCTGCCCCCAGAATGTCCCCAGGAAGCAAAATGAGCACTTTGAGCCCCCCTTGCTAGGATTGCTTGCTTAGAACCCCACTCCTCAAAGGGGGAGCTGCAGACAGTAGCGTCAGAGGCACTCAGAGCTTCCGACGATGCAGGATCTCAGGCCCCCGAGTCCACCCAATCAGAATCTGCTTGGGAACAATTTCCCATGAACATGAAAGTTAGAAAAGCTGAGCCTGAGGTGTGTGGTGAGACACTGCCACACAGTGAGTGGGTCCTCTGTCCACAGGTTCCACCTGTAGTGGATCAAAATATTTGAAAAAAAAAATTGTGCCTGTACTGAACATTTACAAACCTTTCTCTTGTTAGTATTCCCTAAACCATACACGAGAGCAGCTATATCCACAGTGCTTACGTTGTACTAGGTGTCGTGAGTGTCTACAGATGATACGTGTGGTTCTATGAAGGGACTGTGCCATTTTACGTAAGGGACTTGAGCATCTGTGGATTTTGGTGTCCATGGGGTGGGTCCTGTGTCCAATCCCCGGCAGATACCAAGGGACCACCCTACTAGTATCTTGGCCATTGAGTGAGATGATTAGCAATCTGCATGGCCCCACTGGGGGTGCCTCCCATGACAGAAGGGGCTGCTGGAGATGGCATCTCCTAAGGGTGACGTGGGCCTGTGCTCTGGTCGAAGGACCCACGAGGCCTGGATTTCAGAGATGTGACTGGTTTGCCCCTTTACTCAGGGATGTGACTGTTCCAAACAATCTCTGGCAGTGCCAGGTGAGGTGGTGGGACCTGGCATGCCGGGAGCCTCAGGGGTGTTGGGCTACCGAACCCCCTTTGGCCCAAGACACACTTATGAGTTTCACAGCCATCGGGAAGAAGCAGATCTGCAGGTGCAGGGTGGGTAGAAAGCCTTGGGGCTGCCGCAGGTGTCAGCACTGCCCAACCCTGGCTGCAGGGCCCCAGGCCAGCAGACTTGGCTGTGGTGTTTACTTGGCAGTGCTTGGCAGTGCCAGCACCGTCCGCGATGCCTACCATCCAGGAGTCAATTCCATCCTCTGGCAAAGCGGCTGTCCTCCCCGTAGATGAGAAAAGTCCAGATCAGTGGGTCAGTAGGCAACGCCTCTTCTTTGCCCAATGCCACTGGCTGGAAGGAGGCAGACCTGCTCTGAGTCCTGGGCATTTTGTCCCCATTCAGGCACAGAGGCCGAGTCCAGGGAGGAGTTTCCCTGGAGTCTTAGGGTGCGAGGTGTGGGGAAGGAAGCTGGGAGCGCGGCAGGGACCCACTCTGCCTCTGCTTTGTCTTAGGCATCTGGGGTTCAGGGACAGGAGGGCCCCAGGAGAGGAGGGAACCACAGCTAGTTCTGACCTGCCCACGGCTCACGCAGAGGCCAGGGAGCTGCGGGCAGCTGCAGCGGGCTGGCTGGCCGATTTCACAGACCCGTGTCCACCCATTAGCTCATCTTGTGCAGAATGATGGGGAACAGGACCCGGTGTCCCTTCCTTTGTTTATGTACATTTTTTTGTGTGTGTGTGAAGGGGGAAGAAAGAATGGACTCCCTTTTCAAGAGAAGTGAAAACTGAGTTTTGTCTCTCCTTCCTGTTACTGTCAAACAAAAGTCACCTTAGAAGTCCAGACCGCACGGGCTCCGCGCTGTCAGGAAGCAGGGCCTTCCCTCCTGCACGTGTAACTTACAGTCAGTTCTCAGCAGACCAAAAGAAAAAAAAAAATCCCTTTCATCCTGCCCTGTTTCCCCCACTGTTTTATTTCTTACAACCACTCACACCCACGTGGTGCTTGTCAGGAGTGCGTGGCCCGCACAGGGGCCTGTGCTGAGGCTGCCCAAATGCAAACTCTCAAAGCAGTTGTCTGTGTTGAAAGAAGATCTTACATTTGATCTTTGAAAAAATGATTCCTGCAGACATGATATGTCTGCATTCTTTAGCCTTCCAACCCCTTTCTGTTTGGGGGAGGGGGGGTCCCTGCAGGAAGTAGAACTTCACGGGAAAGTTAGACTGCACCTGAGAAGTAACCACAGCACATGAATAACCATTTTTTTCTTCTTAATATCTATTTTTTTTTTTTTTTAGTTTTAGGTGGACACAATATCTTTATATGGTGCTGAGGATCGAACCTAATGCCTCATGCATGCCAGGCGAGCACTGTACCACTGAGCCACAACCCCAGCCCATGAATAGCCATTTTCAACACATGACCGTAATTTATTTTTATTGGCTCTCTGATAAATTTTCATGGGTTTTCAGGTTGTTGTCTATTGAGTTATGACTTCAAGCTTAGCATTTTATGTGCATTTCTATGACAATATTTATTCTTCTGAGCAACCAATAAAAAAATATCTATTTTTCTGGGTGGAAATATGCCTGAGGATGGTGGTAGCCAGTGCAATGCCCTCTCCTGCCATCTCGATTGTAAGCTACCTGCTTTTGTGGTGCAGACACCATATAGCCAGCAGGTTAGACCCATCTGATTCCACTGAGGCCCAGAGAGCAGAAAGAATTCGACATCATGCAGTAAGTGAGGACTGGACCCTACAGCAGCGGCCTTACACTCTACTGGGTAGCTCCTGTTGTCTGCTTGGGGCCAGAGCACAGCCATTGGAGAGCTCCTTCTCTTGGTCTCTGGGTTGGACCCAGCTGGTCTTTGCCTGTGTTTGGTGGCCACAGGTGAGTACACTGCGCATGCTCCAAGTGGCCAACAACCTCTTTTGGACCATCGCGTGGATGTGCTTGGCTGCTGCTCAAGAGATGCTGCCCTTGGTTCTCGTGAAACCCAGAGCAAGTATGACCTACACCAGGAGGCACTTTTCTCTCTGCCCCAACACGCATTTATTAGTTTCCTAGGGCTGGCTAAGAAACCCCCCAAACTTGATGCTTAAAGCAAGAGAATCCTATTCTCTCACAATCTCGGCAGCCAGAAGTCTGAAATGCAGATGTGGGCAGGGACACCCTCCCTCTGGAAGCTCGGGGGGAATCTGTTCTGTGCCCGTCTTGGAGCTGCTGGTGGTGGCCGGAATCAGTCCTTAGTGTTCCTTGGCTGGTTGGTACGTCACTCCCGTTTC